GCTGCGGCCCGAGTGGGCCAAGCAGGAGCAGACCCGGAGATGGAGGGTGAGTGGGGAGGAGGGAGGGGGCTTACCTGCACCAGGCGGAGGGGCAGCCGAGCCGGCCTCGTGTCTCCCTGGGCTGGGCAGCAGGCCTGGCGGGGCCAGCGGCCGGCAGGGGCATTGGTTCCTGCCCGTCCCCGGGCCAGGCGGTAGGCCCAGCGGGGGCAGCAGCCGGCGGGGGCATCGGTTCCTGCCCCTCCCCGGGCCGCTGAGCCAGCCTCGCGTCGTCCCGGGCTGGGCGGCAGTGGCGGCCGGCAGAGGCATTGGTTTTTGGCCGTCCCCGGGCCGCTGAGCTGACTTCGCATCTTCCCGAGCTGGGCGGCAGGGGCATTGGTTTGTAGCCGTCCCCGGGCCGCTGAGCCGGCCTCGTGTCTCCCCGGGCGGCAGATGGCGGGGATATTGGTTTCTGGCCGTTCCCGGGGCGCTGAGCCTGCCTCGCGCCTCCCCGGGCTGGGCGGCAGTGGCGGCCGGCAGGGGCATTGGTTTTTGGCCGTCCCCAGGGCGCTGAGCCAGCCTCGCATCTTCCCGGGCCGTGCGGCAGGCGGCGGGGGCATTGGTTTGTAGCCGTCCCCGGGCCGCTGAGCCGGCCTCGTGTCTCCCCGGGCGGCAGATGGCGGGGATATTGGTTTCTGGCCGTCCCCGGGGCGCTGAGCCTGCCTCGCGCCTCCCCGGGCTGGGCGGCAGTGGTAGCCGGCAGGGGCATTGGTTTTTGGCCGTCCCCAGGGCGCTGAGCCAGCCTCGCATCTTCCCCGGCCGTGCGGCAGGCGGCGGGGGCATTGGCTTGTAGCCATCCCCAGGCCGCTGAGCAAGCCTCGCATCTTCCCGGGCTGGGCGGCAGTGGCGGCCGGCAGGGGCATTGGGTTTTGGCCGTCCCCGGGCCACTGAGCCAGCCTTGCATCTTCCCGGGCCGTGCGGCAGGCAGCGGGGGCAGTGGTTTGTAGCCGTCCCCGGGCCGCTGAGCCAGCCTTGTTTTTTCCCGGGCCAGGCAGCAAGTGGCGGGGACATTTGTTTGTAGCCGTCCCCGGGGCGCTGAGCCTGCCTCGCGTCTCCCCGGGCTGGGCGGCAGTGGCGGCCGGCAGGGGCATTGGATTTTGGCCGTCCCCGGGGCGCTGAGCCTGCCTCGCGTCTCCCCGGGCTGGGCGGCAGTGGCGGCCGGCAGGGGCATTGGGTTTTGGCCGTCCCCGGGCCACTGAGCCAGCCTTGCATCTTCCCGGGCCGTGCGGCAGGCGGCAGGGGCATTGGTTTGTAGCTGTCCCCGGGCCGCTGAGCCAGCCTTGTTTTTTCCTGGGCCAGGCAGCAAGTGGCGGGGACATTTGTTTGTAGCCGTCCCCGGGGCGCTGAGCCTGCCTCGTGTCTCCCCGGGCTGGGCGGCAGTGGCGGCCGGCAGGGGCATTGGATTTTGGCCGTCCCCGGGGCGCTGAGCCTGCCTCGCGTCTCCCCGGGCTGGGCGGCAGTGCGGCCGACAGGGGCATTGGGTTTTGGCCGTCCCCGGGGCGCTAAGCCTGCCTTGTGTTTCCCCAGGCCAGGCAGCAAGCCCGGCGGGCAGTGGGGGCATCGGTTCCTGCTCGTCCCCGGGCCGCTGAGCCGGTCAAATCAACGGACGTGGAGGTACTGCAGCGGGCTTTTTGATTCGCCGCAGACCTCCATTGACTTACTGAGCCGGGCAGCCTTAAAAGTGCACCAATCAATGTGGGAAGAGCTTAATTCACTGAATAATAATAATAATAATAATAATAAAGCTGGAAGGGACCTTGGAGGTCATCTAGTCCAACCCCCTGCTCAGGCAGGAAACTCTATACGATTTCAGACAAATGGCTGTCCAGTTTCTTCTTTTCCTGTTCACTGGTTTCTTCTCCAATCTCTTCCCTGAGGCACTGTAGGGCCTGCACTTACATTGCAAAAGTAAAACTAAAGTCTTTTTTAGCATACACTGCCCCAAATATATAATTAAGGGCTTGCTTGTGTGTCGGCGTTCAACGCCACTTGCGATCAAACAACTGTCAGCAATATAGAAAAGTCACTGTAAAATATAGGCACGTAAGCTATCCTTAATAGTCGGATTACACAAGTTAAAAAATCATAACTTACAATAATATAAACACGGACAGGGTGTTCTTTCAATAAACTACAATTTTAAAAGACTTCTGGAAGAGCTCTGATTTAATGTGCTTCTGAAATGACAATAATGTGGAGGTTAATCTAGCTTCTCATTACCGAGAAACATTTCCTGCTGGCCTCAGTGCCCCTCATTTCATGGTTTGGGAGAACTACAAAGCATTGTTTCCTGAAGTGTTCTTATTGGGCTACTGATTCTTAGCTGAAGGAGGTGACCCTTCGGGCATATCAGTACCGAGCCAACTACAGTTTTATAGGTGAAAAAAATCCCCCACTTTAACTAGAAGCCTGTTAGCAACAGATTTATTAGACTCATGCAGCAATTATGATGTGAGGACCTTCTCCATGGCTCCTGGCTCTTCATCAGACAAATAATAATAATAATAATAATAATAATAGTAGTAGTAGTAATAATAATATAAAAAAGTTGGAAGGGACCTTGGAGGTCATCTAGTCCAACCCCCTGCTCAGGCAGGAAATCCTAAACCATTTCAGACAAATGGCTGTCCAATCTCTTCTTTAAAACTTGCAGTGTTGGAGCATTCACCGCTTCTGGAGGCAGGTTGTTCCACTGGTTAATGGTTCTAACTGTCAGGAAGTTTCTCCTTAGGTCCAGGTTGCTTCTCTCCTTGATGAGTTTCCATCCGTTGCTTCTTGTCCTGCCTTCAGGCGCTTTGGAGAATAGCTTGACTCCCTCTTCTTTGGGGCAGCCCCTGAGATATTGGAACACTACTTTCATGCCACCCCTCGTCTTTCTCTTCATTAAGCTAGACATACCCAATTCCAGCAACTGTTCCTTCTATGTTTTAGCCTCCAGTCCCCTAATCATCTTAGTTGCTCTTTTCTGCATTCTTTTTAGAGTTTCAACATCTTTTTTACATTGTGGTGACCACAACTGGATGCAGTATTCCAAGTGTGGCCTTACCAAGGCCTTGTAAAGTGGTATTAATACTTCATGTGATCTTGATTCTATCCCTCTGTTAATGCAGCCTAGCACTGTGTTGGCTTTTTTGGCAGCTGCAGCACACGGCTGGCTCTTATTTAAATTATAGTCCACAGTCTTTCTGAATGGCATAAAATTATATGGCCAATCTGCTAGCAGGTGGTGGTGTCCATATTTGCCCTGTACAGGGCAACAGTAAGGAAAGAAACTATACAGGTAGCCCCTGACATATGACCTCAAGGAAGCCCAAAATTTGCATTGCTATGCTTGACTATTGTTGAGTGAATTGCGACGCATTTTATGACCTTTTTTTACCCTAGCTGTTAAGCGAATCACTGCAGTTGTTAAGTGACTCATGTGGTTGTTAAGTGAATCCGGCTTTCCCCCATTGATTTTGCTTGTCGGAAGCCGGCTGGAAAGGTTACCAATGGACAGGGATAGGCAATCTTGGCTCTTTTATGACTCGTGGACTTCCAGAATTCCTGAGCCAGAATAGCTCAGCATGGAAACCTCTCCATTTCTCCTCAGCATGGCTGGCTAAGGAATTCTGGGAGTTGAAGTCCACAAGTCATAAAAGAGCCAATGTTGCCTATCCCTGCCCCTGACTAGGGACACTGCAACCATCATAAATTACATGTCAGTTGCCAAATGCCTGAATTTTGATCACATGACCGTGGGAATGGTGCAAAGTTTATGTCACTTTTTTCAGTTACCAGAACAACCTGTGATCTGGAACAAGCTCCCTCTTGACATTCTTACACTTTTGCCTATTCCTTTTTTTTTTTTTTTTTTTTGGCAATACGCTGAAAGCAAATAAAAAAGAAAACAGTTATGCCTATAAGCGTGTGCGTGTGCGTGTGCGTGTGGGAAGTCAGAAGTCAGCATTTTGTGGTTTTACTTGGAGAGAGAAATAAACAACGGCGAGTGGGAAGGAAAGAAATGGTGGCTGAAAGGATCTAATTTATTTTTAAGCTGGAAGCAGAGAACAGCAGAAATTAGGAGTGGGTGAGAATCACCCCCTCCCTCCAAAAACAAAAACCCAGAATAAGAAGAGGCACATTTCACATCATGCTCATGTGCTGGGCCGTGCTTGAAAGGAAGAGAGTGCGAGGGAGCAAATCACAGCGACAGGAGTTTTGTGTCAAAGTATTTTAGCATTACTCACAAAATGTATGTTATGACGCCTACAGACCACATATCCACTTCAGGGCCATATGGTGAGCCATGGAGAATTTCGGGTGCTGAAGGCATTTGAAAAATAAAGGAAAGACAGGAGAGGGGGGGAGGGGGAGGGAGAGGGGAGGAAAGGGGGGGAGAGAGAGGGAGAGGGGGAGAGAGGGAGGGAGAGAGGAAGGGAGAGGGGGGAGAGAGAGGGAGAGTGATGGAGAAAGAGAGGGAGAGTGAGGGAGAGGGGGAGAGGGAGAGAGAGGGAGGGAGGGGGAGAGGAAGGGAGAGGGAGAGGGGAGAGGGAGGGAGGGAGAGAGAGAGAGAGAGAGAGAGAGTAAGTGTTGGCAGACATATCTTTGCTTCCATTTTTTCCCGCCTTCTCCCGCTATGCTGTCTTCTCTGCTCATCCCCTAAGCACAAACGTTGAACACTCACACTCCTTCACGGATGATTGGCAATTTTCTTGGAAGTTTTCCAACCTGACACTTGCTATCACTTCCACTTTTGCAAACTCATGGGGAAGGAAAAGAGAGCTGCATGTTATTATTTTCCCATTCTTCCCTGGTGGCCCTTTGAAGCAGGATGGATAAAGCCTAACACCTGTAGCCCAAATTATCTGCCCAAAGGCCTTCTCATTCAAGTCAAGATAGGTGGTAAAATGAGGGTGCTAAAGCCAGATGACCACTAGAGCAGCGTTCCCCAACCTTTCTGGGTTGGGGGCCTGGCATGGAGGGAGGGAGGGGAAGAAGGGATGGTTTTAGGTAAGGGGCAGGCGTGTGTGTGCCGCTGCTCACACAAGCGGGGCTGCAAGTGCCAGCACCCGCTGCTCCCTTGAGTCAAGCTGTGCACACATACCGACCCACGTAGCCCGGTTGCAATTTGGCCACGGACCGGTAGCGGCCACAGCCCACATATTGGGGATCCCTGCACCAGATGGTAGAAAAGATCCCTAAAACTCTCTCTGTTGCCATCTGGTGGTCATCTGAATGTCTGCAGTTCAGATCCTTTAGGCCAGGTAGCCATTTTCTTGTTCAAGGCTTCTTTCCACAAGCTTTGTAATGTTTCTCCAATGGGCCTTCCAGAGGTGAATACTTCAGCATGGCCATTGCTGAGAATTCTGCGAATTTCAAAGAATCTCTCTTTAAGGAAACCTAGTATAGCAGGTTATATACCTAAGGTGACCAACTTTTTTACAATGAAAAGGAGGGCACAAATAAATTGAAGAAAAAATATCGTAAATAAAAGAAACATTTTATTCATTGCAACAATAATACAGACAACTTGCATGTGCAAAGTTTGCCAGACGGGTGTTTTGGCGCGCTCAGCAGCAATTCCTATTGGCTTTTGAAAGCCAATAGGGGGAGTAGCACAGCTCATGCAAAAGTTGAAAAAAAAAAACCATCAAAAAAAGGTGCCAGAACGCCGTTCTGAGTGTTTTATGAGGGGAAAAAAAGCCCTGCAGATTAGTCTTCAAATATCGAAAAGGAGGAGATGAAGGAGGACACTTTTTGAGGGAGGACAGAACTTACAAAAGGAGGACTGTCCTCCTTAAAGGAGGACGGTTGGTCACCTTAATATACCGTAAACCATATGATAAATGGTTAAGGGAATTAGCTATGTCTAGAGCCTATAGAAGAGGAGGATTAACTGACATGATAGCTGTCTTCTGGTACTTGAGGAGCTGACACAGAAAGGAGGGGAACAATTTATTTTCCAAAGCACCTGAGGGCAGGACAAGAAGCAATGGGTGGAATCTCCTTAAAGGGAGATCCAGGTAGAATGAAGGAGGACTTTCCTGACACTGAGAACAATCAGTGGAGCAGCTCGCCTCCTAGAATTGTGGGTGCTCCATAAGTGGAGGTCTTCAAGAAAAGATTGGGTATCTATTTGTCCAGGATGCAATTAGATCTTCTTCCTTGGGTAGGGGGCTCCAAAGACCCTTCCAGCATGTTAATTCTACAATTCTAGGTGTATTTCTTCCAGGAAAGTTTCCTTACGGTTTTCTGCTCCTTAGAGAATGGACAGATCTGATCTGATCTGAGAAGGTGGAAGTTCTTGTTTGCCTCCCCCCCCCCAGGAGGCTTCCATGCTGAGGGGGCACTAGAACCTCGGTCTCCCTATTCCTAGTCCACTTCTTTCATTATTGGCTCACCTTAGCTCTTTGGCTGAGACAGTGGGGTTGGCCCAAAGTCCCCCCTGAACTTAGATCTCCCCACTCCTGGTCCAATAGCTTCACCACTAGATCATCCTGGCTCTTGAGAATTCAGTGTTACCAGGCTTTGTGAATAGATGAGGCAACCAGTTTGGTGTAGTGGTTAAGGCAGTGGTGGCAAACCTATGGCACGGGTGCCAGAGGCGGCACTCGGAGCCCTCTCTGTGGGAATACGTGCCGTTGCCCCAGCCTCGCCTCCCCCCGTGATCCCCTCCTCTTCAGCAGCCCCCCTGAAGGAGAGCCGCCCCTGAGTGTGGCCCACACGGAGCAGCGCAGCCAAGGACATGGCAGCCAGGCAGCGTAGACAAGACTCTGCCCTCACACCCCATCGTGCACAGTTGATGCTGCAGGGCGCGGGCAGAGGGCGTGACCACCATAGTGCTGCTGGGCTGCTTGGACAATCTGTGGCGGGCCCTGGAGGCGGTGAGTGGTCCTGCGGGCAGGCGGGGTGGGGATGGGGGGCAGGGCAGGGGGTGGAGCGGGGCCGAGGCCAATTTTTGGGCACTCGGTCTCTAAAAGGTTCGCCATCACTGCGTTAAGGCATCAGGCCATACACTGGGAGACCATGAGTTCTAGTCCTGCCTTAGGCAGGAAGACAGCTGGGTGACTTTAGGCCAGTCCCTCTCCCTAGCAGGAGGAAGAAGGGGAAACCACTTTTGGAAATGCTGCCAGGAAATCTACAGGGTTGGAAGGGACCTTGGAGGTCATCTAGTCCAACCCCTTGCTCAGGCAGGAAGCCCTATACCATTACGGACAAATGGCTGTCCAGTCTCTTCTTAAAAACTTCCAGCGTTGGAGCATTCACCGCTTCTAGAGGCAGGTTGTTCCACTGGTTAATTGTTCTAACTGTCAGGAATATCCATATCTTTCCTTGTGTGTAAAAGAGATCTGGTAACCCAATTCAGGAATGCTATCTTATTAAAGGTTACAAAGGTTTGCTTTAGTTTTTAGAAAGATGAACAGGCTTTCCTCTAGGGAAAATTTGACAGAAAAACTATTAAGTAAGACCCAGGGTCAAAATGGCAACAAGTGATACAATGAAATACTTTATAGCAGTATTTCTCAACCTCAGAAACTCTAAGATGGAGGTACTTCAACTCCCAGAACTCAACACATTGGCTGAGGAATTCTGGGAGTTGAAGTTCACCCATCTTAAAACTGCTGAGGTTGAGAATCACTGCTTTATAGAATAAAATAATGTCTCAATCAGATGACACTTTCTATCATTTACACACTGGTTTGGGAACAGTGGCAAGAAACAGTTTTTAGGAACGAATAACACTGGTTGCTAAGCTGAAAAAAACCACCAGATCTGAGCTGCAAATCTTCACACGACCACTAGGAAGCAGTAGAGAGAAAGAAAGTCTAACATTCTGCCATCTTAGTGGACATCTGGATTTTCACACCCCAAATATCGTATTTCTAGAGAGCGTAATTATGTATACTACTATGTGCTTTCTTCTTAAAAATAGGGCCCAGAATACAGAGCTTCCCTTTTTTTCCCTGCACCCATTACCTTTTTAACAGGGACAGAGTTCCCCATTACTCTCCATCACATACTCACCGCAGTATCCTGGTGTGCCACATACAGTTTTCATCGTATCTTGCTCATCCACAATTTTAGATAAACCAAAATCACCTGGGAGGGAAAAAAAAGAAATTGTTGTGTGTACTGATAAAAGAGAATATTTGTAGCTCAGGTTTAAACTGTAGGGTCCTTGGTGCGGTCTGAGCTTGGTTGTTTTCATTACCAAACTAAGTAACATCATCAGTGATTGCAGAGAATGGGGTTTGCTGTCATTTTATATTCTAGTAGCTCACCCTGTCAGGGTTGGTGGGAGTCATGCTGGAGATTCTTTAGTTGGGCTGTTTACTGTTAGCTTGTTTGGCTGTGTGTCATATAATATATATGGGTATATGCATAATTATGTATGTAATGTATATATATATGTATGTATTTATGTATTTATTTAGTGTATTGAAGATGGTGACCCTTTGAGAGCTATATGCAATGAAATTTCATTTTAATGTATGCCAATTAGTGTACTGTACATTCAAAGTGACAATAAAGTTATTGTTATTATTCTATTCTATTCTGTTCTGTTCTGTTCTGTTCTGTTCTATTCTTCCATTCCATACTATTCTATATTCCATTCCATTCCATTCTATTCTATTCTATTCTATTCTATTACTCCATTTCATACTATTCTATATTCCATTCCATTCCATTCGATTCTATTCTATTCCCTTAATAATAATAATAATAATAATAATAATAATAATAGTAAAGTTGGAAAGGACCTTGGAGGTCATCTAGTCCAACCCCCTGCTCAGGCAGGAAACCCTACACCATTTCAGAGAAATGACTGTTCAGTCTCTTCTTAAAAACTTCCAGTGTTGGAGCATTCACCGCTTCTTGAGGCAGGTTGTTCCACTGGTTAATTGTTCTAACTGTCAGGAAGTTTCTCCTTAGTTCTAGGTTGCTTCTCTCCTTGATTAGTTTCCACCCGTTGCTTCTTGTCCTGCCTTCAGGTGCTTTGGAAAATAGCTTGATTCCCTCTTCTTTATGGCAGCCCCTGAGATATTGGAATACTGCTATCATGTCCCCCCTTGTCCTTCTCTTCCTTAAACTAGACATACCCAATTCTCGCAACCGTTCCTTATATGTTTTAGCCTCCAGTCCCCTAATCATCTTTGTTGCTCTTCTCTGTACTCTTTCTAGAGTCTCAACATCTTTTTTACATCGTGGTGACCAAAACTGGATGCAGTATTCCAAGTGTGGCCTTACCAAGGCATTGTAAAGTGGTATTAACACTTCAAGTGATCTTGATTCTATCCCTCTGTTAATGCAGCCTAGCATTGCGTTGGCCTTTTTGGCAGCTGCAGCACACTGGGGTCCTGTTTACTTCCTGATTATTGCCCTGATGTTAATCTTGGTGTTAATCTCTGCTCACTTAGATGTTGAAGGGCACTGAAAAAAAGTGATTTACAACTGGACCTTACACTTATAATTGTCACGGCATCCACTTTGAGTGTTTGGCAACCAGAAGATATTTATTTTGGTTGTAGCATCCTAAGATCATGTGGTCACCATTTGCAAATTTTCCAGGGGGCTTCCAACAAGGGAAGCCAATGGGCGAAGCCAGATTCGCTTAATGACCATGTGAATCACTTAACAACTTCAGTGGTTTGCTTGGCAACTGTGGCACAAAAGTCACAAAAATCAACTGCAACTAACTAAATCTCCTTGCTGAGGAACGGAAATTTTGAGCCCAATTGTGGTCGCAAGTCAAGGACTACTTTATCAGTAGCTCAGGGTTGCATGGTGGAGTCCTTGGTGCTCTCTTGGCTTGGCTGATGTTCATTACCCAATGAATGACTAGGTAACATCATCAGCGTAAGAAAACCAACCAAATAAGAATCTGGAACTCCAAGAGAAAAGAATATTTATAGTTCAGGATTCAGCTATGGCAGGGGTCTTCAAACTTGGCAACTTTAAGGCTTGTGGACTTCAGCTCCCAGAATTCCTCAGCCAGCCAGGCTGGCTGGCTGAGGAATTCTGGGAGCTAAAGTCCATAAGTCTTAAAGTTGCCAAGTTTGAAGATCACTGTGTTATGGAGCCCTTGATGCTCTCTCTTTGATGCTCTCTGAGCTTAATTATATTCTTGCAGACGTTTCATTACCCAACTAGGGAACATCATCAGTGCTGCTGATGTTACCTAGTTGGGCAATGAAATGACTGCAAGAAAACCACCAGACTGAGAGAGATCAAGGACCCCATAGATATTCTTTGTGGGATGAATTTTAGATCGATTACGATTGATTCTTAAGCCGTCTCCCACCCCTTGAGACTCAGTTGGGATTTGGCTCTCTGGTCCGCACTAAATTATTCCTGTATATTAAAATCATAGTAATTGACAGACTCATGCAGCATGTTACTGATATTTTGTTCTGAGCTATAGTAATTATTTGCCAGGAAAGAATGCTATGTCATTCTACTTAGAGCAGAAAATATTGTTAATTCTAATATAGATACCAGTAGTCCTTGACTTATGATCACAACTGATGATCACAACAGATTTTTGTTGCTAAGTGAGACAATTGTTAAATGAGTTTTGCCCCATTTTACGACTTTTCTTGCCACAGTTGTTAAGTGAATCACTACCCTTATTAAATTAGTAACATGGTTGTTAAGGGCATCTGGCCTCCCCATTGACTTTGCTTGTCGGAAAGTTGGAAAAGGTGATCACATGGCCCGGGGCACTGCGACTCAAAAATATCAGTCAGCTGCCAAGCATCTGAATTTTGACCACATGATCCTGGGAATGCTGTAACAGTTATAATTGTGAAAAATAGTCAGTGATGTTGTAACTTCGAACAGTCACTAAACAAACTGCTGTAAGTCGTGGTGGTTCTGCATGTATGTATGCTGTTCAATTAGTCAACCCTTAATTTAAGGTATAATCTGGGGTAAGACCCATTTCTACCAAACATCTGTTAAATTCAAAATCCTGTCATTTGTGTAAGCTGCATAATGAAATTATAACGCAAATCATGTAAATTTACACAAATGTCACATCAGATAACATCTTACAAAATGTATCATAAATTCTTTTTTTTTTTTTGCTTTGGATCAAATGATTTATATCCTTCATATCAGTTTACCTCAAATGACATGAATTGATGCAAAGGACATAATTTGCGAGGTCTGCAAAATGATATCCTCACGCAATTGATGTTAATTGCCACAGTGGTGTATTTTTTCCACCTAGTGCAGTGGTTCTCAACCTTTCTAATGCCGCGACCCCATAATACAGTTCCCCATGTTGTGGTGACCCCCAACCACTTATACATCACCAGGTGCCAGGGGCATGGACAAAGAAAAGGGGGGGAAATGGCGGACAGCCTTGTTTGGCGACCCCCATGAAATGGTCGTTTGACCCCAAATGGGGTCCCGACCCACAGGTTGAGAACCACTGACCTAGTGGTTCTTTGCGAACAATGGATACCTGTCCCCCACCCTTAGTCTGTTAAAATAAGATTTCACTATATAATATTTTCTGTTTACTTCTTCCCAAACATACCAATTTTGAGTGGCGCATCGGGGGAGAGATCTGCGTAGAGAAGATTTTCTGGTTTGAGGTCACGGTGGACGACTCCATTTGAATGCAAATACTAAAAGAGACAAAGATAGAAAAACATGCGACATTTTGTAGTAAAAAGTCCCTTACTTCTGTATGCTGTCAAAAAGAATTCCGTTGGAGCAAGCAAATTAATTATTTCTTATTTATTTAATATATTTAATCAAGTTAACTTATTTAATATATTTAATCAAGCCACCTCATATGACAAAGTAACTTTAAGTGGCATTTGATGGCATTTCACAGTTTTCTGACTCGTGGCATTTGTGTACCACCACTTAAAACTACCATGTATAGATAGTCCTCAACTTACAACAGTGATTGCTCAAAGTTACAACAACAGAACTGAAAAAAGTGACTTATGACCTTCTTTCACTGTTACGACCTTAGCAGCATCCCCATGAGCATATGATCAAAATTCAGATGCTTGGTAACTGATTCATATTTATGACCGCTGCTGGGTCTCAAGATCATGGGATCACCTTTTGCGACTATCTGACAAGCAAAGTCAATGGGGAAGCCAGATTCACTAAACAAGTGTGATACTAACTTAACAACAGTGGTGATTCACTTAGCAACTGAGGTAAGAAAAGTTGTAAAATGGGGCAAAACTCACTTAACAAAGCTCTCACTTAACAACTGAAATTTTGGGCTCAATTGTGGACATAAGTCAAGGACTACTTATATTAATACAGATAGGCCTCGGTAATATGGATGTGACATATTTTCATGTTTGGTGGAATTGTAAAAAGGTAAAGGCTTTTTGGATTATGATTTGGTAGAACATTCAAAAGATTTTTAAAAGGAAGATAAAGTTCACCCCTCAATTATTCCTATTGGGTATCTTTGTGGATTTAAATGACAAAGAAACTACTTTAATGTTGAATTTATTAACTGCAGTAAGGTTATTAGTAGGCTCGTATTGGAAGAAGGACTCGTTGCCTACTTTAGAAGAATGGATATTTAAAGTTTCTAACTTTGCAGAAATGGCAAAAATTTCTGCTTATTTGAAGGATCATAAACAAGAAAGATATATTATTGTATGGAGAAGATGGATAGATTATATTCAGAAAAAATATGGGACTATAAAGTTTCATTTATTTTATGAGTAAATTTTATAGTAACTGTTGTAGAGATTTGTTTATATGTCTTAATTTAAGGGGAGTTAAAGGTTAAGTATGATGTTTTTTTTCTTTTTTCTTTCTTTTTTCCCCCTTTTTTATTATTGTTAACCTTCTTATTAATAACCCTGTATTCTGCTCTGGGAAGCGAGGGGGGGAGGGTTGAGGGTGGGTGGGTGGGTGAGTGGGTGGGTAATGATAATATAGTCATGGCAAATGCTTGGGCATTTCCCCTATGCTGCGTTCATTTGGGTGAGAGGGATGAGAGGGGAGGAAGGAGTATGGAGGAAGTAGGATGGTTAGAGGAGATGGGGAGGGGAAGAGAGTAGGAGGGGAGGAGAGAAAGAGGAGGGAAGTAGGGAAGGTTTAGAGAGGGTGGACGCAGCCTGGGGGGAATGGGCAGGCGGTACCAATGGTTAATTGTATTTTGTATGAATAAATGGAAAATAAAAACTTTTTTAATAATAATAATAAAAAATACAGATAGGCCTCGACTTATGATCACATAAGAACTTCTGTCATTAAATAATGTACATGTTGCCCAATTTTACTACTTTTTTTGTCACAGTCATTAAATGAATCCACCATCCCCCATTTACTATGATTCTCAGGAGCCTCTGAGAGGGTCACAAAGGGCAATTATGTGGCCCTGGGACAATACAAACATCATAAATGCATGCCAGTTGCCAAGTGCCCAAATTTTGATCATGTGATGCAGGGATGCGGCAATGGATTTTTTTTTCAGCGCCATCATAATTTTGAATGGTTGTTAAATGAATCATCATAAGTCAGGGACTATTTGCAGCAGCATTCCAATGTATATCAATAAGGTGTCACAAATACTGAGGCTTTTCAAGCCTAGTGTACCATTATTTGGTATCTTATCTTAACAGTCAACACAGTGCTAGGCTGCATTAACAGAGGAATAGAATCAAGATCACGTGAAGTATTAATACCACTTTACAAGGCCTTGGTAAAGCCACACTTGGAATACTGCATCCAGTTTTGGTCACCACGATGTAAAAAAGATGTTGAGACTCTAGAAAGAGTGAAGAGAAGAACAACAAAGATGATCAGGGGGCTGGAGGCTAAAACATATAAGGAACAGTTGATGGAATTAGGTATGTCCAGTTTAATGAAAAGAAGGACGAGGGGGGACATGATAGCAGTCTTCCAGTATCTCAGGGGCTGCCCCAAAGAAGAGGAGTCAAGCTATTCTCCAAAGTGCCTGAACGCAGGAAAGAAGGAACGGATGGAAATCAAGGAGAGAAACAACCTAGAACTAAGGAGAAACTTCCTGACAGTTAGAACAATTAACAAGTGGAACAATCTGCCTCCAGAAGCGGTGAATGCTCCAACACTGGATGTTTTTAAGAAGAGACTGGACAGCCATTTGTCTGAAATGATATAGGGTCTCCTGCCTGAACATGGGGTTGGACTAGTTGACCTCCAAGGTCCCTTCCAACTTTGACAATGTTCTGTTGTGTTCTAAATTTATTAGCTTGCATCAATGCTATCTGCATTCTGTTCAGGATAGTTATAGCCTTGTTTCTGAATCATTAAGATAAAATCCAGCTTTTATTCAAATAAACGTCTAAGTTCCTAAGCAATTGGAGGACCTTATTTATTTCAATTGCCAATTTCTTTTTATCTTCTTGTATCTCCCAAATCATTAATAAAGACAAATATATTCACAGATTACACCGGAACCCCAAACTGATCAAATGATAGGCAGTTCTTCACTCGTGCTGTGAACAAATGATAGAAGCAATTCTAGGCCCGAGAACAAATTATAGGAACAAAATACATTCTCTGCTATTGAAATTATGGGCAGAAAGTGCATGGAAGCTGCTTCTGATTAAAAACGGCAGGGAACCCTTTGTTGGATTATTTCTGAATAATTCTGAATAAATATTATATCAGGAGTTGAACCACTGCAACAGCACATTGCTCTGTGCTGTTGTTTGGCTGGCTGGGGAATTCTGGGAGTCCACAGGTCTTAAAAGTGACCAAGGACGGACATCCCTGTCTTGCATCCCAACTGTTCTTTTCATTCACTCAGCTGTTAAGATCTCTCATCATTTGACAGCCTTTCTTTCCCAGCCCAGAGCGATGGAGCCAAATTCTCACTTTTGCACAAAGCTAACGATGGACTACTTTTGTATTTGAATGTCTCTCATATTTTAAAACCCCCTGGTTGCCTTGGAAACCATCTTCCCTGACCTTTAGTACTGCGAAACAGCGGCCTACTAATGTTCCCTCTAAGAATTATAGATTTCTTTCTTGTTCTTTTATGCAGTGCTGAAATTTAGACCGCAGGAAAGAGCTTAATGCCAAATACACGCTACCACTTCTTTCCCTGCTTGTCCCTGTTTTTTAAGCGGCTTCTCTTCGGGAGCAATTCCTCAGGGGCCGGGAGGGAGGAGGCTGAATACCAAATATGGAATTGTTTGCATTTCAAAGGATTCGGGAATGTTATTTATGAAATTCGTGCCGAATAGAATTACACATAGAATTAAGAACGTCCCTTAAGGGGGTGTCATTCCAAACCAAGATTAATGTATGATTTGCAAGGTGAAGCCAGCCACCTTCTCCCTGCTTGTGAATTATTCTCTCCAACCTCTGTTGCTGGCAGCTTCCACATTCACAAAGCTCAAATAATAATAACAATAATAATAATAATAGTAGTAATAATAATAATAATAATAACAACAACAACAGTAGTAATAATAATAATAATAATAATAATAATAATAATAAAGTAATAGTAATAGTAGTAAAGTTGGAAGGGACGTTGGAGGTCATCTAGTCCAACCCCCTGCTCAGGCAGGAAACCCTACACCATTTCGGACAAATAGCTGTCCAGTCTCTTCTTAAAAACTTCCAGTTTTGGAGCATTCACAGCTTCTGGAGGCAGGTAGTTCCACTGATTAATTGTTCTAACTGTCAGGTTCTCCTTAGTTCCAGGTTTCTTCTCTCCTTGGTTAGTTTCCATCCGTTGCTTCTTGTCCTGCTGTCAGGCGCTTTGGAAAATAGCTTAACTGCCTTTCTTTGGGGCAGCCCCTGAGATATTGTCCCCCCTCGTCCTTCTCTTCATTAGACTAGACATACCCAATTCCAGCAACCATTCCTCATATGTTTTAGCTTCCAGTCCCCTGATCATCTTTGTTGCTCTTCTCTGCACTCTTTCTAGAGTCTCAACTTTCAGTCTCTACTTTCAGACATTGGTTGAACGAGCTGTAACTTGGTTGGTTAATCTGTCAAATAAACAACTACAGGACGTTCTCAATTTCCATTCATTTAGTGACTATTTGAAGTTACAATGGCACTGGAAAAAGTGACTTATGATCATTTTTCACACTTACAACTGTTGCAGCATGACCAAAATTTAAATGCTTGGCAAATGGCGGGTATTTATAATGTCAGTTGCAGTTTCCTGTGATCCCCTTTAGCGACCTTCTGACAAGCAAAGTCAATGGGGAAGCCAGATTCACTTAACAACCGTGTTACCAACTGAACAATGGTGGAAACAAAAGTCGTACGATGGGGCAAAGCTCACCTAACAACTGTCTTGATTGCCAACAGAAATTTGGGGCTAAACTGTGGTCGTAAGTCGAGGTCTACCTGTGTTAATTAGACTTAAAACAACACTGCACCGGTAATCCATGAATTACGACTGTAATGGAGGCCGCCCATTACAATAATAAATCGTGATGGTTGGAAAATGGGTCACCCACATCACCAACCCAATTTTACAACTTTTTTGCAGCAGCTGTAAAGTGAACAGTGCATTCAGTAAGCAAAGCCATGGCTTACTACAGGGTGTTTTTATCAAAAACAAGAAGCAAATGCCTATCTTTGGCAAAAAGATTGTAAATGTATTTTTACAGCTGTAAATGCAGAATAGTTGCTGAATACCTAAAATGTGATCATATGACTGTGGGGGGAGGGGCCCTGCCATCAGAACTAGGTTATAAGTTGTAATGATTTGTTGTAATATCAAGGAGTCACTAAGCGACTGGTTATAACCTGAGGACTACTTGTAAATCATGATTTTTCAAATCACATCAATCGCAATAAATGTTTTACTGTGATTTTTGAATCTGTTCTAGTATTTCCTTTCTGCTCCAATTTATTCCTCAGGTCTGTTCTTTAGCCTAGAAAAAGTTTGCCTGTAACACGCTGGATCTATCGCTTCTTTGATGGTGCAAAATAGAGAAAGGATCACCTGATGGCCTACTTTCCTTCTCGATTCTACTGCTGTGATGTATGTAAAAGAGTTAGGGCTAGAACAGCCATAGGCCACTCCCTTACTCTCCATGTTAATTACCCCCAAGACTATTACCAATGGCTCAGAAAATTGCAATTCATTTTGAGGTCAATTCTTGTTCATCTCTCTCTCACACATAACACTTCCTGATTTGCCTGCATTTTATTCTGTTTTGCCAGTTTTTTTTTTTAAGAAAAAACAATCTTTGCTGATGTTTTATAAATATCCCTCAAGCTCTATTTTGGCTTGCTGAACTGAGTGCGCATGTGCTCACTGTGATCTGAATGTAGCGATCGACTGGGTGTGCGCTGAGGGCAAAATAAATTGGAAATCACCCATAGTAATTTTCCAAGACAGCACTCAGTCGCAACCAAATCCCAGGGGAAATTGTGCAGCTAAGTATTCTCCTAGATGGGTATATTGGGTGCACTAGCTTTGTTGTTAATTGCGAAGTCGTGTCCGACCCATCGCGACCCCATGGACAATGTTCCTCCAGGTCTTCCTGTTCTCTACCATCTTCTGGAGTGCATTTAAGCTCATGCCTACTGCTTCAGTGACTCCATCCAGCCACCTCCTTCTCTGTCGTCCCCTTCTTCTCTTGCCCTCCATCTTTCCCAGCATCAGGCTCTTCTCCAGTGAGTCCTTCCTTCTCATTAGGTGGCCAAAGTACTTGAGTTTCAACTTCAGGATCTGGCCTTCTCAAGAGCAGTCAGGGTTGATCTCCTCTAGGACTGACCCGTTTGATCGCCTTGCAGACCAGGGGACTCGCAGGAGTCTTCTCCAGCACCATAGTTCAAAGCCCTCAATTCTTTGGCGCTCAGCCTTTCTTATGGTCCAACTTTCACAGCCATACATTGCAACTGGGAAAACTATGGCCTTGACTATAAATATTTTTGTTGGCAGAGTGATGTCTTAACTCAGAGCAAAACTATTCAGAGATAGTCCTCGACTTAATGACCACAATTGAGAGCAGAATTTCCATTACAAAGCAAAATAGTTATTAAGTGAGTATGTCCAATTTCTACGACTTTTTTTGTCACAGTTGCTAAGCATGTTACTGCAGTTGTTAAGTGAATCATGAGGTCATTAAGCAAATCCAGCTTCTCCCGCTTTTACCTTTCAGAAGCTGGCCAGGAAGGTCACAAAGGCGCCAGGATGCGGCATGACCCTAGGATGCGTCAACCATCAAGAATACATGCCGGTTGCCGAGCATGTATTTGGATCATGTGTGTGAGGATCGGTTGTAAGACTTTGTGAGAAAAAGTCCTAAGTCACTTTTTTCAGTGTCACTATAACTTTGAACAGTCACTAAATCAGGGTCTTCAAACTTGGCCCTTTTATGACTTGTGGACTTCAACTCCCAGAATTCCTCAGCCAGCATGCCTGGCTGAGGAATTCTGGGAGTTGAAGTCCACAAGTCATAAAAGGGCCAAGTTTGAAGACGCCTGCACTAAATGAATGTTGTAAGTCAAGAACTGCTTGTAAAGGCGGAGAGAAAATTCCAGGGGTTGATAGAAGAGGGCCTCAATTAGATGGGAAATTTATTCTTCATTTGTAGTTATTGAAGGAACAGCTGGTTGTTAGTGACTGAGGGGAAAAAATATTCACCCTGCCTTATTGAGATCCTACTTTCTCAATCAGCCTTGTGAAACTACAATAAAAATATTGTGCACATTAGTATATATAAATAGAATGTCAATAGATTTTAGAGATAGGTAGTAGTAATAACAACAATAACAATAAAGTTGGAAGGGACCTTGGAGGTCATCTAGCCCAAACCCTTGCTTAGACAAATGGCTGTCCAGTCTCTTCTTAAAAACTTCCAATGTTGGAGCATTCACCACTTCTGGAGGCAGGTTGTTCCACTGGTTAAATTGTTCTAACTGTCCTTGAGTTACGACCACAACTGAACCCAAAATTTATGTTGCTAAATTTATGTTTGTTAAGTAAGTTTTGCCCCATTTTACAACTTTTCTTGCCACAGTTGTTAAGTAAATCATTGCACTAGTTAACTTAGGAACACCGTTGTTAAGTGGCTTCCCCATTGACTTTGCTTGTCAGCTCATAAACGCGGATCATATGACCCAGGGACACTGCAGCCATCATAAATATGAACTAGTTGCTAAGCATCTGAATTTGGATCATGTGACCATGGGGACACTGCAACCGTCGTTTATAAAAAATGAGCATAAGTCACTTTTTTAGTGCTGTTGTAACTTTGAACGGTCACTAAATAAACTGTTGTAAGTTGAGGACTACCTATAGATTAAAATAAGGTATATGTTAAATAAAACTTTTTTCTCTCGCAGCCAAACTCATAGTCCCTAAGACAGGGGTACAAGTGGATTTGAGAGTGCTAGTGGACTCGGGGTGTTCCCGGTGCATGATCAGCTTGCCACTTGCCCTTAAGATGGGTATACGGGCAAGATTGCTCTTCAAGCCTGTGAGATTTCATCTGTCGGAACCATGACACTGCAAGGGGAATTCTGGGAGCTGAACTCCACACATCTTAAAGTTGCTGAGGCTGAGAAACACTGACGTAAATGATCCCCTTTTTCATCTTTACTTTCTTTTTCTCTGCATCGCTCCCTTTCTTTCAGTGCCAATTATTATTGGAATTATCTTTGCTTTCTTCTGCCATAATTGTTCTATTTTTCTTTGCAAGTCTTTCTATTTTGTCATTGTCTCCAGTTCTTTCTCCTCTGTTCTGCTATGTGCACTATTTATTAGTCTTACTACCAACGTAGGGAAACTACTGGTTATAAGTTGCTGATTTCAGAGCACTGAGAAGGGCAGCTTTCAAAGATAATAATAATTGAATGTTGAAAAAAACGAAATCATAACTTCAAAAAATGAAGTACACACACTAACCTCCCACCATCTGAGGGGCACCCTTGCATAAATCCATGAAAAGCAGATACCTCAATTGTGTGCCTGCCTACAAAATTCCAGTTACAGAAAAGGTGCCTTTGAAAGGTGGCAAAATTTATGTTTCCGTTTCCTTGGCAACCAAAATTCTACCCTCCAAAACAGATGCAAGGACAAGAGTCTAGAAAAAGGAAGGCAACATTCAAATGGCTTACGGAGACAGCTTCCAGGATCTGTTTCACCACGTGGGCTGCATCCCTTTCGCTGTAGAATCCCCTCTCTACAATCCTGCGGAGATGAAACAGCATGCAGATTTATTTATTTTTTTTAAAAATGTATTTTTTCATCCTGCACAGCCAGCCTGACTGCCAACCTGTAAATCTGCTTTGGGGGGGGGGGGAATGCTTAAAATAAATAAGCTGGTGGTTGTACTGGTTTCTTTTCTGTTGCTTTAACGCAGTGTTTCTCAACCTTGACCATTTTAAGGCATGTGGACTTCAACTCCCAGAATTCCACAGCCAGCAATGCTGGCTGTGGAATTCTGGGAGTTGAAGTCCACATGCCTTAAAATGGTCAAGGTTCAGAAACACTGCAACGTGTGTTACAAGGAGGAGGAGGCTGGGAGCTTTTGCAGCAGAGATAGCAGGAATGGCAGGTTGCTAGGCAACCAGAGCATTCCTTTTCTTGGTGGATGCAAAAGGGAGAAGGCCGCAGGGGTTGCTAGGCAATTCATCCACACATTCACTCCTCCCTGGCTCTCTGTCTTTGCTGCCATCTAGAAGTCACCCAAAGTATCGCAGCCCAGATTTGTTCATGCTCGTAACTTGTGAGCATCTGCAGTAGTTTGTGGGAAAGGCCTTGGGCAAAAGGAAGGAAAGGCCTTGGGAGACAGAAGGGAAAGGCCTTAGGACAGTGATGGCGAACCTTTTAGAGACCGAGTGCCCAAACTGCAACCCCAAACCCACTCATGCATCGCCAGGTGCCAGGTGAGTGTGGCCCATTGGGTGGGTGTGGCCCATTGAGTGGGTGTGGCTGCGGTGGTAACGGCAGACTGGATGGGACTAAAAAGTTCAACCAATCAATTTCAGCTTTGCAAGATCTTTTTTCCCCCACAAGAAATTGAAATTGACTGATTGATTGAACCTTTTTTTTTTTTTTGCACACGGCGGCAGAGGCCTAAAGTGAAAAAGTTTTATAAAACCCCGCCGAAGGCCTAGGACTGGGGCGACGGCGCGGGTGCCCACAGAGAGGGCTCCGAGTGCCGCCTCTGGCACCCGTGCCATAGGTTCACCACCACTGCCTTAGGAGATAGAAGGAAAGATCTTGGGAGCAGAAGGAAAAGACTGTAGGAGACAGACGGGAAAGGCTCTGAAAAATAGCAGGAAAAGGCCTTGGAAGGCAGAAGGGAACATCTTGGGGGCAGAAGGCAACATCTTGGGGGCAGAAGGAAAAGGCCCTGGGAGACAGAAGGGAAAGATTTTGGGAGACAGGAAGGAAAGGCCTCAAAAGATAGGGCAAGGGTAGGCAACCTTGGCTCTTTTATGACTCGTGGACTTCAACTCCCAGAATTCCTGAGCCAGCATGGCTCAGCATGGCAACTCTCCCTTTCCCCTCAGCATGGCTGGCTCAGGAATTCTGGGAATTAAAGTCCACGAGTCATAAAAGAACCAAGGTTGCCTATCCCTGGTTTAGGGAGATAGAAGGGAAAGACCTGGACAGATGAAGAGAAATGTCTTGGGAGACAGAAGCAAAGGCATTATGAGACAGAAGGGAAAGGCCTTGGGAGAAAGAAGAGCTGCAGACTAGATAAACCAACCGGCAAAGGTATAATAATAATAATAAAGTTGGAAGGGACCTTGGGGGTCATCTAATCCAACCCCCACAGATCGCAGCCCACAGACAGAGGGAGGGCATAAAAAGCTTCTCAGAAGGGACCCTCCCTAGTTATTTGCAGAGTAAAAGGAAAGGAAGGGAGAAATATTTTTAGACTTGCAAGATTCTATTCATATAACCTTACAATAAAGATAAGAGTTGGTATTCACTGTTGTGCTTCTTGTCTGGACTACCTCTCAAAGAGCTAACAGCACCACATATTTAAAAGGGGGGCTGGGGGCTTTATGACTTGATTTTTTTTATCCTCCCCCCCTCAGGGTGTCCCTTTGTACAGTGAAAGATTCACAGAAAATGAAAGGAAGCCCATTTTTTAGAAAAGGGGAATTTTTTTTGCTTAGCAGGATATTTTTTTTTTCAAATTCCCTATCTATTCTAGAGCCCTGATTTCCTGTTGGTCTCCTATCCATAACTAACCAGGCTTGATCTCAAGTAGCTTTCCAAAATCTACCAAAATCAGGCTTGAAGGGAAAAAGAAACCCTTTCTTTGCTTATATATCCTATTGCTTATATATCCTATTCATAATCTCTAGTAATGACTAGATATTCATGGAAGTTTACCTGGCTTCTTAAACAATTATTCAGTAACTTGGCCTCCTGCCCCAAAGTGTCTGACTAATTCTATTCCTCTTGATATCAGCCAATTCATACTTTCATTTCATGCCTGGTTTGCAATGGCCATTCTCAGACATCATGATTAATTCCCCATCCCAATGGGTCACGGCCATCCATCGTATTTATTTTCCAAGAAGGACTCTAGGTTGTAGATGAAGCAAAAGCTGTTTGAAAACACAGACAGTGCTAGAATCTCTCATTTCCCTTTGCAATTGGTCATTTCCCCTTTAGCTCTGTTGGTAAAAAAAAAAAAACTAAAACAAATTTAAACAAATTAAAGTAAGGTCAATCAAGGAAGCCTGGCTGGTGCAGGCACATTTATGTCCATCAATTCTAAAAAATTAACTATCTCCATTTTCAGCAAGAGCTGAAGCCAGAAAAGCAGAAGGCAAGGCTAAGGAAACTGGAGCCTAGAACAGTGGTTCTCAACCTTTTAATGCCGCGACCCCCCAACCGGTCGTAAGTCGAGGACTACTCAACCGGTCGTAAGTCGAGGACTACTCAACTGGCGCAGCACCGTTTGCAGAATGGGACTTTTGGCGGGCTCAGCAGGGCAGAGACAGCCTGGACGATTCCTATTGGCTTTTGAAAGCCAATAGAATTAGACTCTGTTCAAGAGAATCTATTCTATTGGCTTTCAAAAGCCAATAGAATAAAAGGGAGTAGCACAGCTAAGGAAAAGGGGGGGAAAAATGGCGGACTGCGTTGTTTGGCGACCCCCATGAAATGGTCGTTCGACCCCAAATGGGGTCCCGACCCACAGGTTGAGAACCACTGGCCCAGAGACTCTGTACTGATTGTTGTGAATTAACTCAATCACCTTTTCTGTGTCTCAAACACATCTTTTCCCCATGGCAACAAATTACTCTCCTACCCTTTGTTCAGTTAGTCATCTTTAATTAAGAATCTGCCAATTAAGCCAAGGTTTCTCCTGTGTTACCTGTCAAACAGCTCACCACCTGTCACCAACTCAAGGATGAGTGTGATCTCTGTGGGGGTTTCAAAGATGTCTTTGAGTTTGATCTAAAAGCAAATAGGAAGAAATAGAAAAGGATGAATAACTTTGATCTAAAGCAGTGGTTCTCAACCTTTTTAATGCCGCAACCCCCAACCGGTCGTAAGTTGAGGAATACTCAACTGGTCATAAGTCGAGGACTACTCAACTGGTGCAGCACCGTTTGTAGAATGGGACTTTTGGCGGGCTCAGCAGGGCAGAAACAGCCTGGACAATTCCTATTGGCTTTTGAAAGCTAATAGAATTAGACTCTATTCAAGAGAGTCTATTCTATTGGCTTTCAAAAGCCAATAGAATAAAAGGGAGTAGCACAGCTAAGGAAAAGGGGGAAAAAATGGCGGACTGCGTTGTTTGGCGACCCCCGTGAAATGGGCGTTCGACCCCAAATGGAGTCCCGACCCACAGGTTGAGAACCACTGATCTAAAGCTTTGCAGAAATGAGGAAAAAGCCATGGAAATTCCAAACATTCACACTTTTTTGCACGCCCATCTGCACAAACATAATTTAAAACTGTCCATTCTAAGATATTGTGCAGATTTGCAAGATTTAGAAAGAAACCTCAATCTTCTTGATTTTATGACATTATATGCATCAATTATTAGAGGTTGACAAATCTTTTGAGGTTTATTAATTTGGCAAGTATATTATGCCCATTGAGTTGAAATTAAGAATAATTTCAAAACTGTACTAAAATCTCTATCCATATTACAGGTAGGCCTCGACTTACAATCCCAACTGGGACTAGAGTTTCCATTGCTAAGCAAAGGTGGTTATAAGTGAATCGCACCTGATTTTACAACCTTTTTTTTGCCATGGTTGTTAAGTGAATCACTGCAGTTGTTAAGTGAATCTTGATAAGCAAGTCCAGCTTTGCCAATTGACTTTGCTTGTTGGAAGCTGGCTGATCTCATGAATAGAACGCTGTAACCATTGTAAATACATGCCAGTTGCCAAGCACCCAAATTTTGATCATGTGACAGTGGGGATGCTATTAATAATAATAATAATAATAATAATAATAATAGTAAAGTTGGAAGGGACCTTGGAGGTCATCTAGTCCAACCCCCTGCTCGGGCAGGAAACCCTACAACATTTCGGACAAATGGCTGTCCAGTCTCTTCTTAAAAACTTCCAGTGTTGGAGCATTTACTGCTTCTGGAGGCAGGCTGTTCCACTGATTAATTGTTCTCACTGTCAGGAAGGTTCTCCTTAGTTCTAGGTTGCTTCTCTCCTTGATTAGTTTCCACCCGTTGCTTCTTGTCCTGCCTTCAGGTGCTTTGGAGAATAGCTTAATTCCCTCTTCTTTATGGCAGCCCCTGAGATTTTGGAATACTGCTATCATGTCCCCCCTTGTCCTTCTCTTCGTTAAACTAGACATACCCAATTCTAGCAACCGTTCCTTATATGTTTTAGCCTCCAGTCCCCTAATCATCTTTGTTGCTCTTCTCTGTACTCTTTCTAGAGGCTCAACATCTTTTTTACATCGTGGTGACCAAAACTGGATGCAGTATTCCAAGTGTGGCCTTACCAAGGCATTGAAGAGTGGTATTAATACTTCGCGTGATCTTGATTCTATCCCTCTGTTAATGCAGCCTAGTACTGTGTTGGCCTTTTTGGCAGCTGCCGCACACGCTGGCTCATATTTAACTGATTGTCTACTAGGACTCCGAGGTCCCTCTCACAGTTACTACTATTGAACATGGTGCCACCTATGCTGTACTTGTGCATTTGGTTTTTCTTGCCTAAATGTAGAACCTTGCTTTTTTCACCATTGAATTTCATTTTGTTAGTTAGTGCCCAGTGTTCAAGTCTGTCCAGATCCTTCTGTATCTGAAGCCTGTCTTCTGGAGTGTTGGCTATTCCAACATGATGGTCATAAGTGCGAGGATGGTCGTACGATAATTTTTTTCAGTGCCACGGTACATCAAAAAAATGGTTGTAAATCAAGGTTTATATGTAGTACACTTTCTCTAAATATTTTGTTTGCCTTTTTTCTGTTTTGCAAACTATTTTCCCTAACAGGTCTTTATATATATATATATATATATATATATATATATATATATATATATATATTTCAAATGTTCTTGTAACCTGGCACATTTGGAGAACTGGGAATTTAAAATGATGATTCAGTTTTATTTTGGGAATTTTGCTGCACAAAACTGATATTAGATCAGTTTTCATTCAGATGCAAATTGCACACATTTCTCACCAATAATGATTCAGACGCCTAAGCTGTTCTGATCTCTGTGTGTGGTTTTTTTAAAGTGCTAATTTATATTAAAAAGACCAAACTGAATTGCCAGCTGGGTCCTCCTATTTTGAGACCTCAAATAACTCGGTGGAACCTCTTCTCTGACCAATGGTATATCAGAGACACTGCAAGAAATAAAGTTAAGGGCATTGTGGAAAACTAAACGAAGGTCTATATCCAGCCCAGAAAGGTGAAGGATTTATACAGGTAGTGCTTGACTTATGACTACTTGCTTAGTGACCATTTGAAATTATGTCATTCTCCCAAAAATGTACTTACGACCCCAATTCAAAGTTCGATGGCCACCCCCCTGCAATCATATGATCTCATTTTGATGCTCGATCTGCATTTATGGCTGTTTGCAGCATCCCACAGTCACATGACCACCATTTACAATCCTGTTGGGTTTTTTTTTTTGCCAGAAATCAACATTTACTTCCGGTTCTCTGCAAAAAACGCTCCTTGCTGACAATGTGTTCATTCAATGATCACAGTGTTTTGTTTAATGACCGCTGGGTTCACGTAATGCTAGTTGCAAAAAAATAAATAAATCATATAATCAGGTTGGTCACATGGCTGACTTGACTTGCGACTGTCATGACATACGACAGAAAATCTGGGCTCCCTAACGGTCATAACTTGAGGGCTACCTGTAAACGCCTAAAACAAGCAATAGTATTCACCGAGACACGCTATGGAAGCAAAAATTGGATTTTGAAGAAGTAGAATAGGAAGACTGCAGATGCTTTTGAAGTTTGCCATTAGAGAGCTATTATGGACAGGCTAAAATGAACGGATCATCAAACATATCAATTCAGAGGTCTCACTCATGGGACAGATGACCAAATTATCATACTATGGATGCATTAAGCAAAGACTTGGCTCCCTAGCGGAGGCTCTAATGCTGGGAAAGCTGGAAGGAGGAAAGGAAAGAAAAGGAGGACAAGCAGCAAAATAATAAGACTCTGTTACAGTGGTAATCATCATCATCATCATCATCATCAAGAGAGGAATATTTCAAGGAGATTCATTGTCACCATTACTATTTGTTATTGCAGTTTCCTCTGTCAACAATACTGAATAACTCAGGACATGGCTATCAAACATCAAAAACATCTACCAGACTATCCCATCTCCTTTACATGGATGATCTGAAGCTGTATGGAAAAACATCATCTGAAATAGAATCGCTACTCAACACTGTCCGTATATATAGCCAAGATATCGTTATGGAGTTTGGCTTGGACAAATGTGCCACACTTACTATCAAACAAGGAAAAGTAGTGAAAACTGAAGGAATCAAGATGCCCCACGAAAATAACATTAAGAGTCTGGATGAGGAAGATTACTACAAATACTTGGGTATCCTTCGACTCATCAAGCACACTGAAGTCAAGAAAAAGATTAGAGGTGAATACATCAAGAGAGTGAAGAAGATCTTAAAGTCCAAACTCAGTGGAGGAAATACCATAAAGGCAATCAACACCTGGGCAATTCCACTCATTAGGTACACAGCTGGAATAGTGGACTGGACTCAAGCAGAACTAAAAGCAATGGATAGGAAGACCAGAAAAATAATGACAATGAATCATGCCCTTCATCCACTCAATGACATTGACAGACTTTATCTACCAAGGCAAATAGGTGAGCGTAGAATGATACAAGTACATCAGATAGTTGAAGAAGAAAAAATGGCTTTGGAAGAATATCTGAAGAACAATGATGAAGATGCACTGAAATTAGTATATCAGGAAGGCTTACTGACTACTGGAGAGACCAAACTGGCCTACAAGAAAGACCAAATGAAGAACAAAATAGAGGCATGGGAAGACAAAGCACTACATGGCCAATACATTAAAAAAATAGCTGGAAAAGCAGATAATAATAAAACCTGGCAATGGCTAAGAGCAGGAAAATTGAAGAAAGAGACCGAGGGACTAATTCTGGCTGCACAAGACCAAGCCTTAAGGACAAATGCATACAAAGTCAAAATTGAGAAGATAGCAACAGACAGTAAGTGCCTCCTATGCAAAGAAGCTGAAGAAACAGTGGACCACTTGGTAAGCTGTTGCAAGACGATTGCACAGACTGATTACAAGCAGCGACATGACAAAGTAGCAACAATGGTGCATTGGAAGATCTGCAAAAAATATCATTTGCCTGTAAGCAAAAACTGGTGGGATCATAAAATAGAGAAAGTCATAGAAATGATAAAATTAAACTGCTCTGGGACTTCAGAATTCAAACAGACAAGCACCTGCAACATAACACCCCAGACTTAACAATTGTCGATAAGAAAGACAAAAAAGTCTGTATAATAAGGGAGAAGAAAAAAGACAAAGTACAACTGAAACCAACCACAAGACTCATATCTTCTAGGACAATGGTTCTCAACCTTTTTAATGCCGCGACTCCCAACCGGTCGTAAGTCGAGGACTAAACCGGTCGTAAGTTGAAGACTACCCAACCGGTCATAAGTCGAGGACTTTCCCTGCCCGGGAGCGCCACGCATGCATGGTGCCGCCCCCTGCGCCGGCCAAGGTGTAGCTGGCAAGCGGCAGAGACAGAGCAGGCCAATCACCGGCTGGGCCACCAGCTGGCCCAGCCCAAGGGAGGTAAGGCACCCACCGGAAAAGGGGAAAAAATGGCGGACAGCCTTGCTTGGCGACCCCCCTAAAATGGTCGATCGACCCCAAATGGGGTCGCAACCCATAGGTTGAGAACCACTGTTCTGGGGAGCATTATACACACTGCATAACTGCATAACTGCAACTCAAAAATCAATGGAAGATATAAATCATCTTTTTTTTTAAGGTTGCCTGGAAGCAGTTTTGATGAGTTTTTAGTCAGCAAATATATCAAAAAAAATTATATTTATTATAAATACACATGAATATTATATTTGATCTAAATATACTAAGCACACGTCAAAAGGTTTGACTTTTTAAGGCTTAGGCTTAGCAACAAAGGAAGTAAATCACAAGATTATTGAAAGATTCCCAGCTGTCACAGAAACCTTAAATCAGAGCTTTTTGTATTCTTTATGACAATACAATGAAGCTAAAACCCAGAGCCTATTAGCTGAGAGGGAAATATTTGCAAACCCCCCTTCAAATTTTCTCTTTCTAATTAACCCTCCCTCACACAAAATTGTTCCATAATAGTTTCTTAAGATGTTAGTGACACTGTGAATTTCATACCACTTTAATCATTACTTCCCCAGCTCAGGGTGCTTCCTTCGGTGATCCTACAATACCAGTCACACCAGGAAGAGGCTTAATGCTCCCTTCTAATATAGGGCTCTGCAATCTTTTTCTTATTAACTTCAGAAGTTTGCAATCCTATTATCACTTCGTATCAGCTGAATGCTGGCAGCAGAAGGGAAAGTTACACGTCGCAAGGGTAAACAATGAAATGAAATTTGCCATCTTCTCTTTTTTTGATGGAACTTTTTGAACAAAGAAATGTGTCCAGAGAACAAAAAACAAACCTGATTTTTTTTTTTTTTAGAAAAAGAAAAAGAAAAGAAAAGCTGAGATTTTATTGTTCGTGGAAGAAACTAGATCGGTAACTACGTAGGAGAAAGAAATTCATAGCCTTTGGTATATTCTCAGGGCCGCTGCATAGAATCTATCAGTTTGCTAAGGAAGAGGGAGGGAGGGAGGGAGAGAGAGAGAGAGAGAGAGAGAGAGAGAGAGAGAGAGAGAGAGAGAGAGAGAGAGATGAATAAAAAGATGATAGAAGATATATGATTGTTAGAGAGATAGATGACGTATCTATCTGATGATACATTAATTCACGGATAGAAGATAGAAAGATAGATGAGGATAGATAATAATAGATAGAAAATAGATTTATTATCTATCTATCTATCCTAGATGATAAAGATTGTTAGATGATAATAAATGGATAGACGGACAGACGGACATAGAATCGATAGTGGATGGATAGATAGGATTGATGATAGCTAGTTAGATGAGAGGTAGCTATCTAGCTAAACAGACAGACAGACAGACAGAAAAATCATGATCTTAGTGTTATAGTGGACATCTCAGTGAAAATCCAGAGTGCAACAGCATCATTTATTTATTGATTAAATTTATTTGCTGTCCATCTCGCTGTCATGTGATTGGGCGACTCACAGCCTATTAAAAAGGATTTCATGCTCAGAATCATTAAGAAGGGAATTGAAAATGGAAATGGCAATTTAATAAAGCCATAATAAAGGAAGTTTATGGTCTTTTGGCCTGAAGAGCAATATTTTAGAGCTGGAAGAGCTGTAAAAGGAACACAAAAAGAGACGCCGGCTGAAACAGCTCCCTGTGAGAAAGAATAAAGCGACCATGTGGTTACAATTTAGTGTCCATTCAAAGTTGTGACGGACCTCCCCAGGATTATTTACAACCCAGATTTGAAGTTTTCACAGCCAGACTTTCCAACAGTCATGTGACTGTATTTTCAGACGCTCGGCAACAGGAAATCAGGAGATTAAAAAAAAAAAAACACCTCAGCATGTCACAAAAACAAACCTAATGTGATTACCCATGTAAGCTAACCATTTTAAATCTGTTACTTACGATATTTGGATGGGAGAGCCTCAGCAAAACTCCAATTTCAGTTCTGACAATTTTCTTGTCAATCTGCAAAGAATAACAAGAACAATAATGTTGCTACAGTGGGTCATGCTAGGGTTGAGGGAAAAAAAGCAAGACTATCTAGATAAGTCCCTGCAGTTTTTTGGCAAGGTTTTTCACAAATGATTTTGCCATTCAATCAGTTTTGGCTTCCATCTTGACTTTTTTGACGCCTCCCCAAATCATGCATTGTTCTTGTCTATTGTCAACCCTTTAAGGCAGGCCAGGTCAGAAAACAGATAGCATGTTAGAATTGTACTGATTTAGATTATAAAGACAGTCCTCGCTTAATAACCGCAACTGGGACAATCCGTATAACCTAAATCAATAGAGTTCCATGACTTGTGACAGTTTTGCTGGTTTCTGCCCCCAAACGCCCATTTGGAAGAATTGGTTGATTGTCCCAATTGTGGTCATTAAGTGAGGATTATCTGTATAGACCAGTAGTGGCGAACCTATGGCACGCATGCCAGAGGCAGCACTCAGAGCCTTCTCTGTGGGCACACACGCCATGCCCCAGAAATGGCAACTGTCTCTCTTCAACCAGCCGCCTGCTAACTCGCTGAGGTCCCACATGGCCGGATGCATCCCGGCACGGCTGGTTTCCCTCCCTCCCGTCCCTCCTGGCCTTGCATGTTCTCCTTTTCCCGGGCGTGACCCACTGCATTGCCTCCTCAGCTGTCGGCCGGCCATCCAGCTCAGAGGCAGCTTCTTTGAACTGCTGGCGGCAGGCTGCAGAGCCCCGAAGTGTGCCGGTTGAGGGGCCGGCAGGCTATGGCTGCTAATGGACACCATTGGCCCCCATGCGCTCGCTGGCCTCTGTGTGCAGGGGCCGATGGTGTCAGGCAGCAGTGGCCCTGGCCCTGGCCCTTGCCTTGTCCCATGGCAATGGCACCCTCACCCTGCCTCACCTCACCCCGCAGGATGAGCCTCCTGCCTACCGCCCCACCTGCCAGAGACCCCCTGGATCTCCCCCAACCCTGCCCACCCCCCACAGGCGTCCCTCCCCATGAGCAACATTGACGTGACCACGCCCACGTTGGCCGCACCCACCCAATCAGCCATGACCACCACAGCCACGCCCACCCAATGGACCACGCCCACCTGGCACCCGGCAATAAATAAGTGGGTTTTGGGTTGCAGTTTGGGCACTCGGTCTCTAAAAGGTTTGCCATCACTGGTATAGACTAAATCAGTGGTTCTCAACCTGTGGATCGGGACCCCATTTGGGGTCGAACGACCATTTCATGGGGGTCGCCAAACGCAGTCCACCATTTTTTTCCCCCTTTTCCTTAGCTGTGCTACTCCCTTTTATTCTACTGGCTTTTGAAAGCCAATAGAATAGACTCTCTTGAATAGACTCTAATTCTATTGGCTTTCAAAAGCCAATAGGAATTGTCCAGACTGTCTCTGCCCTGCTGAGCCCCCCAAAAGTCCCATTCTGCAAACGGTGCTGCCTCAGTTGAATAGTCCTCGACTTACCACTGGTTGAGTAGTCCTCGACTTATGACCGGTTGGGGGGTCGTGGCATTAAAAAGGTTGAGAACCACTGGACTAAATCAATAAGGTAGAGTTCTAACATGCTATTGTTTTCTGATTTGGCCTACCTCAAAGGGCTAACAATAGCTAAGAAAAATGCAAAGAGCAAAGAGGTCATTAAGTAAGATGCTTGCTTAGCTCAATGACCACAATCCCAGCACTCCCTGTTGCAGTCGTTAAGTGATATCATGGGCCATTAAGTAAGCAGAATCCTTCTCTGTGCCTATGGAGTTGCAGAGGGAGGGATTTTGAACTCAAGCTTTTAGCAGGTGTGACGCTTAAAATCCTTCTCTCCCTGCCCCTGTGTGGCTCTCCACAGAAGTGGAGAGACAAGTATTTTAAAGTCTATGCAGTGGTGGGATTTAGCCGGTTCACACCGGTTCGGCAGAACCGTTAGCTAAACCGGCTGAAAACATGCTGCTTCCGGAAGTCCGTTCTAGGCCTCGGAGGCCCGCCAGAAGTACATGGATGTCACTTCCAGAAGTCCATTCTAGGCCTCGGAGGCCTCCCAGGCCTAGAGCAGCCCACAGGAAGTGCATGGATGTTACTTCCAGAAGCCCATTCTAGACCTGAGGCCCAGGCCTGCATTCATGCAGAGAACTGGTTGTTCAGATATTTGAATCTCACCACTGGGTCTGTGCATGCCTGGATTTCAGATACTGAGGTTCAAGCAGGCACGGAGCTGGGGGCTTTCTTTGCATTGAATGAATGTAAATATATATGTCCCAGAATAATGCTGCAGGATCCGATCTGGGTCGGTCACTGGGACCAGAGGCTTTCCGAGCTTTTGGGCTTGTGCTGAACCCATTTTCAGGGAACTTCTCTCTAACGGAATGTGTACTTAGGGTTATTTTATGCATAGTATTTATGTGGTGCTTGGTTTTGTGTGGCTTTTTATTTGTTGATTGGGGTATCGATGGTCGGCTATTAAGTCGTTGGATCTTGTTTTGTCACAAGAAGCGACATCCAAGAAGCTTCTTCAGCTTCAAAGAAAAAGAAAGTCCAGTTGCCTCTTGAAAAAGCACATAGACCTTAATAATAATAATAATAACAATGATAAAGTTGGAAGGGACCTTAGAGGTCATCTAGTCCAACCAACCCCCTGCTCAGGCAGGAAATCCGATACCATTTCGGACAAATGGCTGTCCAGTTTCTTCTTAAAAACTTCCAGTGTTGGAGCATTCACCGCTTCTGGAGGCAGGTTGTTCCACTGGTTAATTGTTCTGTCAGGAAGTTTCTCCTTAGTTCTAGGTTGCTTCTCTCTTTGGTTAGTATCCACCCGCTGCTTCTTGTCCTGCCTTCAGGCGCCTTGGAAAATAGCTTGACTCCCTCTTCTTTGGGGCAGCCCCTTGGCTCTTGTTTTCTTGTGCTGCCAAGTCCTCAGCTCCTACGGTAAGTACCTGATAAGAAATTTCTCTGCATCCTTCCATGGAGCTCTGAAGAGAGATTTTGAGCTTTGTGCCTGCTTGGATTTCGGCTGCTGAGATCCAAGCAGGCAAGGATCGTCAGGGACCACTTTCAGCTAGCCCCGAAAGATGAGAAGAAGTCCTTGCACCATCAGCTTGCTGGCTTCCCCATTGACTTTTTTGGGAAGCCAGCAGAGAAAATTGCAAATGGTGAGTGATCAGGTGACTGCGGGGTGCTTGGCAATTGGTTGTAAGTGTGAACAGGTTGTAGGACACCCTGATTGTGATCATGTAACTGCAGGTAGGGGTGTGTTTGCAACATTGTGCAAAAATCGGAAGCGTTTTAATACAGCACCCTTTCCAAGGCTGTCGTAATTTCAAACAGTCATTAAGTGATCAGTTGTTAAATGAGGACTATCTGTAATAACAGAATCTTGGAAGCCTGGCAGGATTTCCACTTCCTTCCCTCTTCTGCAAAGTTAAGGTGGGGTCAGTTTAAATTTGTTTCTAATGTTCTATTTCTGTCCTGCAATTAAATCATATTTCACTATCATGTACATTTTCCAAGGTCACATCTGTGATTCTCTGTACTGTATTTCCATTATTTGTAATTTAACAAGATACGGAGAACTCCAGATTTTGGAAGCCAAGAGGTTGGCTGAGTCACTTGCAAACATTGGAAGAAAAAAAATCTAAAAATGATTTACAGAACGGATTGCTGGCTTATCAACATGTAAATTAAGCTTTGCTTTCCAGTAAGAGGGCAAGAAAGAAGATTTTTGAGCAATATAAACAATGATTCTGTTTCGAATATAATCTGCCAGGCCCTTTTAATTTTTTTTTAAAGTATTAAGTTTGAAATTATTCCATTATCGGAATATAATTGTTATTTCTGTTATAAACATATGTACTTGTCTTGGGCTAATTAATTTAGTATAATAAGATTTGGTTGTTTTTAAAACAACATGAAACCAGAGTATCCTGTGGAACTTACACAGAGGCTCCGGGGTATTGTAGTGTGTGTGTGTGTGTGTGTGTGTGTGTGTGTAGGTGTGTAGGTGGGTGTCTACAAGTCAAAATAATGGTTGTGATTGTGTGGTCATGAATTCCATTTTGACCTTTCCCTCCCTTGTCTCCATGTATGCCTCTGCAGCCACCATGTTCCCAAACTCACCTGTAGGTTTGCACTGAATTACCACTAAGATGCTGACAATATATATACAACTATAGGATTATATATTTGTATATAGAGAGATCCTCAACTCACAACCAAAATTAAGGTCAGAATTTTCATTGCTAAGCAAGGCAGTTGTTAAGTGAATCGTGCCTGATTTTATGATCTTTCTTGCAATGGTTGTTAAAGTGAATCACTCCAATTGTGAAATGAACCAGGTGGTCATTAAGCAAGCCTGGCTTTGCTGGCTGGCTGGGAAGTTTGCAAATGGTGGTCACATGACCCCAGAACATTGCGACCATCGTAAATCATGCCTGTTACCAAGTGCCCAAATTTTGATCACATGACTGTGGAGAAATGCTGTGGAGGTCATAAGTGTAAGGACTGATTACAGGTCTTTTTTTTTTAGTGATTTGTAATTTCAAATGATCACTAACAGTTGTAAGTAGAGGACCATCTGTACTTTTGTCTGGTGCTGGTTTTGTGTCTTTTGTATTTTTCTTTATTTTTTAAATGGTTTAACAATTGCAAACGGCTAGGAGTCCCTGAGAATTGGGTATATATACACTTAATAAATTATTATTACTGTATTATGAATGATTACCCAAGGTCAGTGGTGGCGAACCTATGGCACACGTGCCAGAGGCGGCATTCAGAGCCCTCTCTGTGGGCCCACGCACCATGCCCTGGAGATGGCAACCATCCTCTTCAACCAGCCGCCTGCTAATTTGCTGAGGTCCCATGTGGCTGGATGCATCCCAGCACCCATGCGCTCGCTGGCCTCTGTGTACGGGGACCGATGGTGTCAGGTAGCAGCCGCCCTGACCCCTGCCTCGCCTTGCCCTGTGACAATGGCACCCCTGCCCTGCCTCGCCTGACCTCACCCGGCAGGACGAGCCTCCTGCCCACCGCCCCACCCATCAGAGACGCCCTGGATCTCCCCCAACCCTGCCTGGCGCCCACAAGCATCCCTCCCCACGAGCAACATCGAGGTGATCACGCCCACCTTGGCCACACCCACCAAATCTGCCATGACCACCGTAGCCACACCCAGCTGGCCACGCCCACCCAGCTGGCCACGCCCACCCAGCACCCGGTGATACATAAGTGGGTTTTGGGTTGCAGTTTGGGCACTCGGTCTCTAAAAGGTTCACCATCACTACCCAAGGTCATACAGGCAGTCCTTGACTTACAACATTCGTTCAATGATCGTTTGAAGCTATAATGGCATTGAAAAAAGTGACTTCGGAATAGACCTCACACTTAGGACCGTTGCAGGATCCCCATGATAATGTGACCAAAATTTAGGTGCATGGCAATCAGCATGTATTTGAGATCTTCCCAGCTGCTTCCAACAACCAAAGTCAAATGGGGAAGCCAGATTTGCTTAATGACCGTGTGATTCACTTAACTACAGCAATTTGCTTAAGAACAGTGGCAAAAAGGTCATAAAATCAGCATGACTCACTTAACAATCACTTTGTTAGCAATGGAAATCATGGTCCTAATTGTGGTCATAAGTCAGGGACTATCTGTAGTCCCTAAAGGAGCAGTTCTATGTCTTGGGAGGGAGGTCTCCTGGATTCACAGCTTTTGCTAGATTAGCAGGTAGAGCCAGTGGTGTGATTCAAATACCTGAATAACCGGTTCTCTGCATGGATGCAGGCCTGGGCCTCCAAGGCCTAGAATGGACTTCTGGAAGTGACACCCACGCACTTCTTGTGGGTTGTTCTAGGCCTGGGAGGCCTCCTCCAGGCCCCTCAGGCCTAGAACGGACTTCCGGAAGCAGCGTGCGTTCAGCCGGTTCTCCGAACTCAACAAAATTTAACTACCGGTTCTACCGAACTGGTGTGAACCGGCTGAATCCCACCACTGGGTAGAGGGCATTGATGCATCCTGACTGACCCTTCCTGGATCTAGAAGCTCTAGCAATCATGGCTCCTGCTTTGATCTAGACGTGTCTTGACTACTCCAATGCACTCTTTGTGGGGCTGCCATTGAAGATTACTACAAGACTGTCAAAACCATCTTACTGAGATAGACTTCTGAAGAGCAGGTGTATTATTACAGATAGTCCTCAATTTACAAGCACAATTGAGCCCAAAATTTTTGTTGCTAAGTGAAGCATTTGTTAAGTGAGTTTTGCCCCATTTTACGACTTTCTTGCCACAGTTGTGAACTTAGTAACAGTTTTTTAAGTGAATCTGGCTTTCCCATTGACTTTGCTGGTTAGAAGGTTGCAAAAGGTGATCACATGACCCTGGGACACTGGAACTGTTATAAATAGGAAAAGTGGTGATAAGTCATTTTTTCCAGTACTGTATAATTTTGGTCACTAAATGAACTGTTGTAAGTCAAGAACTACCTGTACTACTGTTTGGGTGGTTCAACTTATTTATTCTGTTGCAACATTCTAGGTGCTTTACAGTATACAATGATATGAATGCACAACAAAATAAATTATATATATGTGTGTGTGTGTGTATTTGCATATAAGCCAAGAATTTTTGGTTCTAAAATGCACCTTAAAAATTCACTTTGACTTATCCATGGACTAGGACTCAGATTTATTTTTTAATCATAGGCTTTAAAGGATGATGTAAATGTGTACGGTTTCCTGTCTCTTGCTGAACACATTTCTGAGAGATAGGTAATTGCCCTGTTTGGAAATGTTTAACAGTTTGCGTATGATGCAATTTTCAAGCAAAAAGTTATTAGTAGAATGGAGAAATGAACAGTTCTGCTGCTGTCAGAGAATTTAAGTTAAATGAAAATTAAATTTCCTTGTGATTTTGATTGTGATTTGGTAGCTCAGTTTATCTGCTGATAGGTTTATCCATGAGAATACAGTCATAGAAATTCAGTCTTTAGTACAGTGTTTCTCAACTTTGACAGATGTGAAGACTTCAACTCCCAGAATTCTCCAGCCAACTGCCTGGGAAATTCTGGGAGTTGAAGTCCACACATTTGAACATTGCCAAGGCTGAGAAACACTGAACTAGTATCTCTGCTTTAAAAATGATTCAGGCAGCCAGACAGAGGAGTAGAACCTTTTATTGGAAAATATTGGGGGAGCCATCAGGGTCCCATGAATGTGGAATCATGACAGACAAGATGGCGGATGCAGCATTGCAATCCAAGCCTAGCCATAAAAGGGGCTTGGATTATGGTATCACATCCACTGTCTTGCCTGTTCTGGGCCACACAAAAAGGGTGGTGCTTTTTTGACCCTTTCTACCTGGCTGAAGAGTTACAGGTAGTCCTTAATTTGTGACCGGCTATTTTACGACTATTCAGAGTTATGATGGCCTCGGAACAGGGGCTTTACGGTTTGCAAAGCATTTCTGGCCGTTTTAAAATGTCACACACCCCTCTGCAATAACGAGAGCACATTTGGGGCACTTGGCAACTGGCTTGCCTTTGTGACCCAGTTGCAATGTCCCCCAGATCACAATTTGTGACTTCCTCGTTGGTTTCTGGCAAAAAATGGACCAAGGACCCCTCATTTCAATCCCGAGCTACAAATACTCTCCTTTTTCAGTAAATATTGGTTCATTTAACGACCACAGTGAAAAATGACAAAAAAATGAACGTATGACTGCAATGACTTACAAATGGATTTCTGATCCCAACTGTGGTCATAAGTTAAAGACTACCTGTATTGCCATGCAGAGTAAACTGCTCTAAAGTTAATCTGGAAGAGTTGCCACTGTTTTTACAATGGTATACCAATTTCTTGGGAGGCCGGTTGTCCCTCACTGCAGAAAATCATCCACGTTCCTCTGTATCCATATTCTCCACTAGGCTATTTTGTAAGGGACATAGAAAAACATGAGAGAGTCAGTTTGGCCTAGTGGTCAGGAGACTGGGAATTCTAGTCCTGTCTTAGGCATGAAAGCTAGCTGGCTGACTTTGGGCCAATCATTAGGAAACAGTGAGTTCTAGTTCCACCTTAGGTGTGAAAGCCGGCTAAGTGACTTGAGCCAGTCACCAGGAGCTGTGAATTCTAGTTTCATCTCAGGCATGAAAGCCAGCTGGCTGACTTTGGGCCAATCATCAGGAAACAGTGAGTTCTAGTTCCACTTTAAGGATGAAAGCCAGCTAGGTGACTTGGGACAATCACCAGGAGACTTGGAGTTCTAATCCTGATTTAGGCATAAAAGCTGCTGGGTGACTTTGGGCCAATCACCAGGAGCTGTGAATTCTAGTTTCATCTCAGGCATGAAAGCGATTTAGGCTTAAAAGCTGCTGGGTGATTTTGGGCCAATCACCAGGAGCTGTGAATTCTAGTTTCATTTCAGGCATAAAAGCCAGCTGGCTGACTTTAGGCCAATCATCAGAAAACAGTGAGTTCTAGTCCGCCTTTGGCATGAAAGTGGCTGGGGGATGTTGGGTCAGCCACAGCCTCTCAGCCCAATCCACCTCATATGGAAGTGATTGTGGGAAAATAAGAGCCCCCTTTACGCTGTCTTATCTTAGTACAAATTAAGGCAGGATACAAAGTTAGTAAAAAAAAAAGTGTGATGGAAGGAACAGATTTACACTTACCGTTTTCTTCAATATTTTGGCAGCATACTGGACCTGAGATCCTTTCTCTTCGCAGCTGTAAACCACAGAGGTGGCCCCCCTAAAACAGACAAGGATCAGAAGTATTGTCCCCAAAACTGAGACTGGAATCACACGCACATGGACACACAAAAAATATTATGACTGATTAATATTAATCTATAACCCCCCCCCAAATAAAGGAAATCATAGATCCATCATAACTGTGCATTTTCAATATCTGGATTTGGTGCACACAATCTCTGTCTGGAGATAATCTGTTTTTGACTTGTCTTTTTCTGGGTCCTTCCTGCTGCTACGTTGGATCTTCTAACCATTCTTCAATCAGAAGAAAAGGTTTCTCCCTCAGCCCTGAATCAACCCTTAAGCAAAATCAGCATGACCATAGGACACCAAGGAAAGGGAGCCCTTCAAAGACTCTGGAAAGGGTGCAGAAAAGAGAGAAAAAAAGATTAGGGACTGGAGGCTAAAATATATGAAGAATGTTTGCAGGAATTGGGTATGTCTAGTTTAATGAAAAGGAATATTGGTGATATGATAGCAGTGTTCCAATATCTCAGGGGCTGCCCCAAAGAAGTGGGAGTCAAGCTATTCTCCAAAACACCTGAAGGCAGAACGAGAAGCAACTGATGGAAACTAACCAAAGAGAGAAGCAACCTGGAATTAAGGAGGAACTTCCTGACAGTTAGAACAATTAACCAGTGGAACGACTTGACTCCAGAAGTTGTGGGTGCTCAATCACTGGAGGTTTTTAAGACCGGACAGCCATTTGTCCGGAATGATATAGAGTCTCCTGCTTGAGCAAGGGGTTGGACTAGAAGACCTCCAAGGTCCTTTCCAACTACTACTACAACTTCTTCCTCCTCCTCCTCTTCTTCTTCTTCTTCTTCTTCTTCTTCTTCTTCTTCTTCTTCTTCTTCTTCTTCTTCTTCTTCTTCTTCTTCTTCTTCTTCTTCTTCTTCTTCTTCTTCATCATCATTATTATTATCTTAACAACTGTAGCAAAGAAGGATGTAAAATGGGACAAAATTCACTTAATAGCTGTCTTGCATAGCAATATAAATGTTGGGCTCAATTGTGGTTGTACGTCGAGGACTACCTGTATCTCAGCCCACAGAAGGAAGGGTGTGGGAAGTTCTCTGAATGGATTCTCCTTATTTTCCCTAGAATAAAAGGAAAGGAAAGGAAGGAAGGAAGGAAGGAAGGAAGGAAGGAAGGAAGGAAGGAAGGAAGGAAGGAAGGAATACTTACAAACTTGAAAAATTCTGTTAATACAGAGTTCCCCAACCTTTCTGGGTTGGCAGGCCAGAAGGGGGGGAAGGGGGGGGAAAGAGGGGATGATTTTGTGGGAGGGGCAGGTGTGTGCATGCACACACAAGTACCTGTTGCTCGCATGAGTAAGGCCGTGAGCGCTCACAATGCTCCGAGTGGGGCTGCGCGTGCTCCCACGAGTAAGGCCGTGAGTGCTCACAATGCTCACACAAGTGGGACTGCGGGTGCTCACAAGTGTGGCTGTGAGTGCCTATGATGCTCATGCGAGTGAGGCCCTGAGCGCCTGTGATGCTCACTCGAGTGGGGCTGTGTATGTGTGCGTGCGCACCAGCCGGGCACTCATACGACCCGGTTGGGAATAGGCCGGGGACCGGTAGTGGGCCACGGCCCACAGGTTGGGGACCCGTGTGTTAATATAACTGTCATGGTCAGATGAAATTCTTCAAAGAACTTTGAGGCATTGTTTACCTTAAAGAATCTTTATTTAAGAAGCATAGCATCGGCACTAACACAGTCAAAGCCAAAAATTGAATTTCCCTCCCCTGAGCACATAGTATCAAAGCACAATTCCCTCCTCCAATTAACAATCATAAATCACATTCTCCAATTAGTTTGAAATGAAGGCTTTCCCTCCAGTTCTCCAGCCCGCCAATTTTTATCATCTCTTATTTCAATAACCTTGGTTCACACACTAGGTCCAGTATTGTTATATCTAGCTAAACTCTCATGCACATTCCTCCCTGCAGCATCATCTAACTCTAACTCTAAAAGTAAAACATGGTTGCATCTCCAACTGTTGTCAAAGCAAAACATCCAATGTTAGCAGCGTTGATAATAACCTTTGAATGAAGATAGAGTTAGTATAGTATTCACTGTCGTGAATATCTCAAAGGGCTAACATTAACCTTTCAAGTCTGAAAGCATTTTTCCCCGTCCTTTTACTCTGCGCAAAACTTGGGAGTGTCCCTTCCTTTCACAAAGCAGAAGGGGAGGTAAGAGAAATGGTCACTAATCCCTTTCTAATCTCCTGTTGCAGGGAGATGTTGACAAGATAGGGTCCAAAAAGGCAAGATGGCCACCATTACAGTGAAATCAAAATGTCACCTGTTGTTGTTTTTTTTACATGCCCTAATATACTTTTTGATACAGGTGATCCTCGACTTAAAAGCCCATCTGAGCCCAAAATTTTGACTGCTAAGCAAGACAGTTGTGAGCTTTGCCCCATTTTACAACCTTTCTTTCCACCGTTGTTAATTGAATCGCTACAGCTGTCACCGTGGGAATGCTGAAAAGCAGTCATAAATCACTTTTTTCAGTGACGTAGCTTCGAACAGTCACTAAACAAACGCTAGTAAGTCAAGGACTTTGGGGTATATTGCTTGTTGACGGGAAACAGCTCTCTCACTGGAATTCTCAGAACCCTATTTCTTCTTAATAAATCTTGCTAAGGAGACTCTGAGGGTTTGCCAGGAAAACCAATTACTTTGGGTTTTATGCAGAAGCCGCGTCAAATTTGGGCATTTTAAAGCACTTTTCTGAGATGAAATCCAAACCGCTTCACAGCTTCAGGGCACAGAAGCCACATTAATTGTATACCTAAGTGGTGTTTGCTAGATTCAAAAATCCTGCAGTACAGAATGAAATCCCCCTCCTCTTTCCCCACTGAAGGATTTTTTCCCTTCTGGCTTCCTTTGTTAAAGCTCTTCTAATTAAAATTGAAACGCTCCAAAGCTTTAAACGGTTAGGCAGCTTTTAAGACCAAAGGCACTACTAGAGGGCCATGACCTCTGTCAAGTACAGCGGTTCCCAGAGAAATAAACCTGGTAAATTTATATCTACATAGACATGATATCCCAGATGGGATATCTAGGATGACCTGATGGAAAAAAACTCTCAGAGGCTCCAAAATATCTTTTATATTCGTGGAGCAAAGTTTCCTTTAATGCGTGTCCCAACAGGATACACTACATGAAGCAGTCACAATTCATTTCTGCCCCGTGTAATGCATTGTTTCTGTACTCCATTTCAATAGAAAATGGTGCAATTTGATTAGTTTTAAAAATTTCCATATAGGGAGTCCTCGATTTACGACCACAACTGAGCCCCAAATTTCTGTTGCTGTTAAGGGAGTTTTGCCCCATTTTACGACCTTTCTTGCCATAGTTGTTAAGTGAATCACGGCAGTTGTTAAGTTACTAACATGTTTGTTAATGACTTTGGCTTCCCCATTGATTTTGTTTGTCAGGAGCTTGAAAAAAGGTGGTTGCAAGATCCTGGGACGCTGCAACCGTCATAAGTATGAGCTGGCTGCCAAGTGGCTGAATTTTGATCACGTGACCACAGGGAATGCTGCAACTCTCTCAAGTGTGAAAAAAGCCTTAAGTCACTTTTTTTAGTGCCGTTGTTAACTTCTAACGGTCACTAAATGAATGGATTACCTGTATTCTTCTCTACTCCATTTCAGTAGAAAATGAGGCAGTTTGATTAGTTCTTGGTGTAATGTGGTTAGTTTAAAAAAAAATAACCACATTATTACCCCTCTGCACAGCGTATATTTAATATATACAGTTGTTCCTAACTATGAAAGAAACATATTGCTCCTGAAAAGTACAAAAAATATTGCCTTCTGCAAAATCTCCCATTTGAGATTGAATGGAGACACACTGCTCATATCAATAGTCCTCAATTTACGACCATAATGACCCTTGTAAGTTGTGATGGCCGTTAAGCAAATCAGATAACAGCATCATATTTTAGGACACCATCTCACTTGTGCTAGCGCCACGGCCACAGGGCGCAAAAACGGGCCGCTGCCGCACCACAGGGCACAAAAATGGGCTGTCGCTGCACCGTGAGGCATGGAAATGGGCTACCACTGCGCTGCAGGGTGCAAAAACAGGCACCACCGTGCCACAGGGCACAAAAACGGGCTGCCACCGGGCTGCAAGGTGCAAAAATGGCCACCACCGCACCGTGGGGTGCAGAAAAACACGCCACGCAAGAACGGGGCAGGGCTAGTGAGTATCACGTGGGCGCTAGCCCCACCCCATTTGCTGCACGTCCGTGCTCACGAGCTCGTGTGCACACGCGCACATGCATGCATGTAGAATGCTTCCCCCTCCCTTTCCTCTGACCCGCCAACCGACAAAGGTTGGTGACCTCTTTCTTAGAGAGTGCTGTAAAGCACTATGAAGCAGTATAGAATAGAATACAGATAGTCCTCGATTTACAATGGTTCATTTAGTAATTGTTCAAAGTTACAACGGCACTGAAAAAGTGACTTATGATTTTTCACACTTACGACCACTGCAGCATCCCCATGGTTACATGATCAAATTTCAGATGCTTGGCAACTGACTCATGGCTATGACGGTTGCAGTGTCCCAGGGTCACGTGATCCGCCTCTGCGACCTTTTGACATGCAAAGTCAATGGGGAAGCTAGATTCACTTTACAACCACGTTACTAACTTAACTGTTGCAGCGATTCCCTTAACAACTGTGGTAAGAAAGGTCGTAAAATGGGGCAAAATTCACTTAACAAATATTTCACTTAGCAACAGAAATTTTGGGCTCAGTTGTGGCTGTAAGTCGAGGACTACCTTGTGCTTCATCTGGCCAAGTGTGATCAGACACACAAAGCATTTGTCTCCGATGCAGAAGATCTGTGTACATGCAAAACAGAGCAATAATAATCATAATAATGATATCAATAAGAGGAAGTAGTAGAGAAGATGAGAAGGATAGTAATAATAATACTACAGCCATACCACTTGGGTAAATATACTTAA